CTCTCCTCAGCTGCCTCCCAATCTCCTCAGTTGAATCCCACTCTCCTCACCTGACTTCCACTCGCCTCAGCTAACTCCCAATCTCCTCAGCTGACACCCACTCTCCTCACCTGACTCCGCCTCTCTTCCCTGACTCCCAATCTCCTCAGCTGACTCCTAATCTCCTCAGCTGAATCCCACTCTCCTCACCTGACTTCCAATCTTCTCAGATAACTCCCACTCTCTTCACCTGACTCTCACTCTCTTCAGAAGATTCCCACACTCCTCAACTGACCCCCACTATTATCAGCTGACTCTCGTTTTCCTCAGCTGACTCCCACTCTCTTCAGTTGACTCCCACTCTCCTCAGCTGACTCACCACTCTCTTGAGGTTGTTTCTCGCTCACCACTCTCTTGAGGCTGACTCTCGCTCTGAGCTAAATTCCACTCACTTCATCTAACTCCCACACTCCTCAGCTGACTCCCAATCTCCTCACCTGAATACCACTCGCCTCATCTAACTCCCACTCTCTTCATCTAACTCCCACTCTCTTCAGCTGACTCCCACTCTCTTCAGCTGACTCCCACTCTCTTCAGCTGACTCCCACACTCTTCAGCTGACTCCCACTCTCTTCAGCTGACTCCCACTCTCTTCAGCTGACTCCCACACTCTTCAGTTGACTCCCACTCTCTTCAGGCTATCGACATAAGTCTTCCATGCATTTTGTCTGAGTTCGTTTACACGTCCCACGTTGCCCACCTTCCTGACTCTAGCCCTCAGTTATTTCAGATTGGGGTCACCACTGTTGTCTGTTCCCATGATGCTGACCACGTTTTCTCCTTTTTTGGTGGAGGCATTGTTGGTGAAGTATGTACAAGTCCTAACTATGAGATCATCATGGAGACTTTGGTAGTTGTCAGGCTTGTAATCCTTGTACTAGTCAAGGATGAAGTCTATGAACTAGCTTTCATGTTCTTGCTTGACTGAGAGACTACGTCTATTGAGTTTACCACCAGTGGGGTCATTGGCTACATGTATACTAGCTTGGACTGGGTTGTGGTCAGATATAAGATCAGTGACATCATCAGAGCTATGAGTTGTGTACAGTATGGTAGATTATAGCCAATACACTTGTCTAGATCCCCGCCATAGATGTGTGTTTGTTCATTATTACCTATTCTGAGCATCTTCATGTGCGCTGAGAAGTGAGATAAGTCTCCTACCATTGGCGTTAATGGTGGGGTCACCAACTTCTTGTCCCTAGTATTCAGGTCACCAATCAGAACAGTGGGCTCAATGTGTACAAAGTCTGGGAGATCTGTGTATTGAAGTTGATCTTAGGGAGCATTGGCGTTTAGCACGTTGAGTGTGGAGTTGCCCAGGTGGATAGTGATCCTGTGGTACTGAGAGTTGAGAGTATTTTTTGGATACAAGAAGTACATGCGGTAATGACTTCTTAACATACATCATAATACACATAATTGGGCAGACTAGGTGGGGGCTTACCATTAGGTGTGAGACACTCCTGCAGACACACGATATCGATGTCCTCAGCCACAACTTTGTGGTGTAGGTCAAGGTACCGTTTTCTGAGGGATGAAATGGTCCAACTCATCACCTCCTCCTCTCTATATCTTTGTCTGGTATAAACATTGGCCATTATGTATTTGGAAAGAAGCAGAAGGCACTGTATACGGTGTTTTTTGTTTTCCATGCTGCCTGTCCCTTCTGCAGGCAAGAGGCTTTATAACATTTTTTAAACATTCCTGGAGCATGTACTGCTCACCAGTTGATCTATTTGATTGCAGACATCAACACACTTTCGTTACACTCGACACCACCACCATTTTCTGTTTGTGTTTGTTCATCTTCACTGACTACGAGCCATCAGTAAAACTGTTACCAGTATCACTGTTTTCCTCTGCGTGGACACTAGTTCCTGATGGATCTTTAATTTCCACATCTGGTACTGACATTTGAAGGTCTTCAGTTTGATTGTAATCTTTCCATAGCTGCTGCACTGCGTTGGAGGTGTTCTTTTTCTGTAGTGAATCGCAGAGGCTCTTTAGGATATCAGTTTGAGCTGCAAATTGAGCTTTAAGTTCTTTAATTTCATTTTTCAAATCAGTGATCTCTTCATTTTGTGCGTGTTCACGGGGTATGTTGACAGCTACCCATTGTCAGTACGTCTGTGTTGCCCCATGCTGATCTTTCGTTGACGGCTGGTGATCCTGGAGCTTTGGTAGGTAGGGTGGGCCAAGGGTTGGCCGTAGGGAGTACCCTAGCAGCAGAAGTGTTTCTTGAGACCTGCCTGGGTGGCGGGTCTGGCCGCTGAGGGAGTGTAGGAGCTCTTGGACGGCCAGGGTGCCATACAGGAACTCCATCTGTTTTGCAGTTTATACCCCTCAGTTGAATGGGTGCCTCTTGAGCAACTGTATTTCTGCAAGCCCGTGTTTCATGTCCTGGACAAAGACCACACCACGGCTTGGTAGAGGCATAATCGGGCCACATGGCCCCAATGTTGACAGCTGTAACACCTCCGTTTAGAAGGGGGGTGGGGGAGGTTGGCGTGCCCAGTTTGATTTAACAGAAATACGATTGTGACCAGAAGACCCTAAGGGAGCAGAAATTGAGTATAAATTGTGTGAGGGGTTAGAGGTAAAACAATGATCAAGAATGTTAATAAGTTGATCGTGTCAATCTGGAACACGTGTAGGGTGTTTAATTACTTGTTCCAGATCATTAAGTAAGGAAAAAGAGAGTGTCTCAACTCCACCTGGGTCATCCCTTGCAGAGCCAAGCCACTCTGTGATGTACATTGAAGTCCCCAAGGTAGAGGATCTCGGTGTCGGCGTGTGTGGATAGCAACGACTCATGAAAAGAAGTGAGATTGTCAAAGAGTTCCAAACAGTTGGTAGAGTTGGGAGAACAGTATAGAAAACAAAGAAAAATAGTCATTATTGGTAGAGATATTTTGAGCCAGATGATATCATAAAGAGAAGATTCATGATCCGTGAGTCGAGCTTTTGGTGTATAAATGTTGTAGTTGGTAACTTGAAAAAGGTTTGGGTGAAGCTGCTTTGGTCAATTGAAGTTCAGATAGTAGTACGAGATCGGGGGAAGAGGTTATAGATGGTGTTCCGCAGAGGAAAGACTGGATCTCAGGCCGCGAATGTTGCAAAAATTAAGTGTGAAAAAAGCCAATCCTCCAGCAACCGCGGTGACGTCGGTTGAGGCCCCAGTAGTTTGATGACGATCAGGTCGGCCCTGAGGTCCACAACCTTCCCAAGGACTTCGAAACGATACCAGCTTGTAATCACTAAACTTAATATATTTACAATAAACAAGAATACAGGCAATAATACAGTATGGTCCTATGACCCGACTAATTTATTAACTTATGTCTTAATTCCATACTATGGCTCTCCCTCCGTTCACAAAACATCACCCAACATTCACTCTTAACACTGGTGAACAAATTAATAATAACCATGAGATACACAATGGATGAACTAAGATATAGTTACACATTCCTGATTCCAAGTTCACACCTTGTGTCTGCCTTTATACAAATACATATTATATGACTACAAAATATCAGGAACTACAAGAAACCAAAATAATTCACATTAAATGCAAAAAATAAACTAATTATAACAAAATACACACATTTTGCTTGGTTCATAGAAGACTTCTCTTGCAACAGTGACTGATACTAAATGAATATAGTACAGCACACTTCTTAATATATTACCGGTTACATAGACATATGTAACACATTCCACTTGTCGTGGCCATTACTGAATAATTCTCCTCTTTCAGCACAACTCCTAGGCCCATTAATCAGACTTATATTTTGAAATAACAGCTTTGGTCAACAGACCAGAATGATGTAGACAATCTTTTGCTACCTCTGGCTAACAGTTGAAGGCGACATTTAGTGCAAAGTGAGTCAGGTATCACATAAATACTAATTTGTAATAATCAACACTTAATATAATTATATTTGCAGTAAAACAATAGCATAAACAATAACACTACATGGTTAAGTGACCCAAGTAATTTAGTGATTTATCTTTCTTAATCTCATAGTACAACTCTTCCTCCGTTAACATAAATATCACCTAATATTCACTCATAATACTGGTGAATAAATTAATGCCAAAATACAAGATGACCAATGGATGGAATATGATTACAATCACTGTCATGGTCTCAAATGCTGTGATACCCCCAGAGGAAGAGAACTCGAAAACGTAAACAAACGGTACATCTTTCACAATTAGAATATTCTTAACTCAAAACTTCTTTATATAAATACATAATATTATATAATTACTAAACATTTGAATTTACATGCAACCAATATAATTCACATCCAATGCAAAAATACAAACTAATTATTACAAAGGATATAAAGTTTTCATATTTACTTCCTTCATAGAAAACTGCTCTTACAATGGTGACTGATACAACATGATCATAAAGCATACATCTTAATATTATATAAATACACTGAAATATACAACACACTACATCTCAAACTGTCGACATTGGGAGAGCAGTTCATTATCTCAAAATCTACAGTAAACACACAAGGCACTACACTTCTGGGCTCATGTATACCTATAACAACTAAGATGTGATTTATGTAAACTTACTTTAATGACAAATAATATCACAACTAGATATATTAACAATGGGTTAATGAAATCAGATGTTGTAGGTCATTGTTGAGAAGAGATGTTGACTGTCTGTATAGTTCAGTTCAGCACCAGAATGGATTAAATAGTATTATATAATGTGAGTTTTATCTCTAGTATAAATCGAGTCAGTGATGAAGCGGTAACATGTTTTTGTGTTTTGAGTCATCTACCACTTCCTTGCCAAACATGATACTCAAATTAAATTTTGTTTAAATATTTTATACAGAATATTTTTTTCATAATTATTTGTTGTGGGAGTCATACAGTAGCCCTCACTCACCATAACCTCTTTCTGTCTCCTTCTGCAGGTCCGCTGACGGTGGTTTACGCCGTAGAGTCGGGCCGGGTGTTACTCCCCTGTGACGTGGCTCCTCCAATACCTACTGATGACACCATCCTCGTCCTCTTTTATCATGGCGACATTGGTACTCCCATATATAGGTAATTATGTAGAATAAATGTGTATACCTGTAAGAGAAAGTGAGGAATCTATAAGTGAACAAAAGTTTGATGTGGGTATGGCTGGGAATGGAGGAGGAGGAGGAGGAGTGGGTGATGTGTCAACTGACTGACTGCAGTGTTCACGCCAGGTAAGCGAAGCAGTGGGGATTTAGGATAATGCAATACTTCATCAAGATTTTTTTATAACAACCCTTTTATAAATGATGGAATGCCTGCAAGTATAGTGAATATATAGAAAAGCAGATAACACTGATAGATAGAAAAATATTACTAAAATAAGATAGAATAATTGACAACAGACACACACACCTGCACACACAAACTGGAGGGTCAAAACCTATCAGGCATCCGCTCCTTCTGTGGAGCTGCCCTGGTCAATATTGGCCCATTCCCCAAGTCCGTCTCCTCGACCCATCCTCACTACCGGGATATCAACATAATCTCGCCAAAAGTGACAATTTCATCTCAGAAAGGAATGCGATCAGTGTTGAACAATGTTTAAGTCAGTGAATTCAGCACTAGACAGTACCAGCGAGAGCTGTGACCCATCAGTCAGGTCCACACCCAGAGAAAAGCACCTCTGGGAACCAACCACCATCTTGGACCAGACGGTGTTAATCAGTCCACCTTGGGAACAACCGTGGGTCGGCTTTACACCTGACCATATAACACACCAGTACTTAGCAGAGAGTGAGGTACTGTGACACGACACACCACACCACCCTGTCTCTCCACGACCACATGAGGTCCTTCATATCAACACCTATGGACGAATTACTGCACGGCATGAACACCACACCTCCCCGTGTCTCCATGACCACGTGAGATAGTTCATGCCAACACTTATGGACGAGTCACTACACGTGAACACCACACCACCCCGTGTCTCCATGACCACGTGAGATAGTTCATGCCAACACTTATGGACGAGTCACTACACGTGAACACCACACCACCCCGTGTCTCCATGAACACGACAGTTTCCTCTCAACGTGTGTGCGGGCAGGGCTGTGTGCGTGGACCACCTGTGATCTTTTTAAGATTACGGTGGTACACACTAGGTTTTGAGGAGCAGGGTTCTCACAGGGTGTTACTGAATATTAGGTGTTCTTCCTACCACAGTCACTTGAAGGATTACCATATCCAATAGGACAACAACTGTAAATCTGGTGCCTATATAACAAGTGAACTAACCCGTGGGTTGAGCACTGTGGTGTGTGTAAGTGCCCGCGAGGCAGGCCTACCCTTGTGGTCACTCCCGGCCATATAGTGAGGGTTTGTGTAAACAAACTCCCGTATTCATATGGTGCCAGGCTGGATAGTTATTTTGAAACTGAAATGGTCTTTGATACTGTATCTAACCAGAAAAACAGATACCATTGAGTAAGAACAACAAGCGGAGTGTAATAAAAAAGTTAATAAACTGAGAATGCTCCTGCTACCTTGGTCCCTCTGACACCACACTCCCTTCTCTCCCTCACACCGCTGATAAGCTATAGACGTCAGTTTGCCTTGTCCTGTGAGAGGGTTACGCCTCCCAACCACCGATGACTTCCTAGGAGTGCCAAGCAGTCCTCGGACCTCTGACACAGGCCTATAGGTCGAGTCCTGTAACTCCATCATGTCTGAGTTAACTGGAGACCTAGCTACTCTCCCTAGCCCTCCCGATGCAGAGCGGGCCAGGTGACTATGGTGTTGACCTTGACACCAATGGAGAGGGTGGCTTTCAACTAGTTCAGTCCAGGAACAAGCGGAAGGCCGAAAAGACAGAACAAATTAAGAGACCAACAACTACAACCTCAACCCCCTTCGAGAGTAAAATTAAACTTCCCTGAAGGTGCAGCACCTGAAGTCAAGCATCGATGGCTGGACGATGCGGAAGATAAACACCCAGACGCTGAGTTTCAGTTCAGAGTCAGTACACAAGATCATGTTCTGATTAGAAACGACCCAGCAGTCATACATGATCTCATCAGTAGCATAATGGGAATAACCATGGAACAACCATCCCAACCACCGAGCAAGAAAACCATTTTAATCATAGGGCTCGACCAGTACCAGACTCACGGTCATTGTACACTGGGTTGGCTCGGAGGGCCCACCCAAGTCCATTCGAGTCCGTGGTGCCCCTCGAACTCTGAAGGTAACACTATCAGCCCCATACCCGGAGGTGTTACAATTGTCAACACTGGGGCCATGTTGCCCGATTATGCCCCTCTACCAAACCGTGGTATGGTCTCTGCTCAAGACAATATGCAACACATGATTACAGAGATACAGTTGCTCAAAGGGTAGCCAATCAACAGAGATGTATTAAATGCAAAAAAGTTGGAGTTTCTGTATGGCACCTTGGCTGCCCTAGAGCTTCTACACCCCCTCAGTGCCCAAACCCTCCACCCAGGCAGGTCTCAAGAAACGCTGCTAGGGTATTCCCTACGGCCAATCCCTGGCCCAACCTCCCCACCAAAGCTCCAGGATCAGCACCAGCAGTCAACGAAAGATCAGCATGGGGCAACACAGACGTACTGACAGAACAGGTAGCTGCCAACATACCCTGTGAACACGCACAAAGTGAAGAGATCAGTGATTTGAAAAATGAAATTAAAGAGCCTCCGTAATGCACTACAGAAAAAGAACACCACCAACACAGTGTAGCAGCTATGGAAAGATTACAATCAAACTAAAGACATTCAGATGTCAGTACCAGATGTGGAAACTCAAGATACATCAGGAACTCGTGTCCACGCAGAGGAAAACATTGATACTGGTAACAGTTTTACTGATGCCTCTGTGGACATGGTCAGTGCAGATGAACAAATACAAACAGAAAATGGTGATGTAGATTGTGACCAAAGTGTGTTATTACAGTCACCTAACGAATAGTAAACGTAACGCCGGCGGGCAATTGAAAAGGTATAAGGATAGTCTCAAGACAAACCTGAAAAAGTGACAAATCGACCCCCTCCCCTGGGAGTCGATTACTCCACATCGTAATGCTTGGAGGAGGAGCACCACACGATGGTGTCAATACTTTCGAGTTAGCCCGACTGCAAACCGAGGCAGACAAGCGGCAACGCCGGAAAAACGCTGCCACCGCCCCTCCCGCAGTAGATGGAGCCCTCCACATGTGCAACGAATGTGAACAACGCTGCGGGTCCCGCAATGGCCTCTTTAGTCACCTCAAAACTCACTAACCTAGGTGACATCCCTAATACCGCATGTCATTGTATCATAGCTGGATGATCGTCATACTGGATTCCGAGTGACAGCACAGTAGTAGTAGTAGTAGTAGTAATATAATTGAGAAAGGAGTTAGAATTAACAACTGGGCATCCACTCTACAAACTGAATTAGTTGCCATACTCACAGCTATCAAATTCATTGAAACCACTGTCACTGACAGTCTCAAAATCATTGACTCTATATCCTCACTACTTGCACTTGACACCCTCAACTCAAGTTGTCACGCTTGTCTCTGAAGCCAGACACAAATATGCGTGCCTTGTTGACCGGGGTGTCAAGATCAAACTGTTGTGGATCCCCTCTCACATTGGCCTCAGAGAACATGACAGAGTTGATGCCCTCGCCAAACTCGCATCTAACAAAGGCACTGTTGAATACAATCTGGGTCTGTTAAAAAGAACCCTTAAAACTGTAATTAGGAAGGAACTTATTGACGAATTTTACGCAAGCAGACAAGTGCAAACAGGCACTAGTCGATCCATAGTTTGCCATGATGAGTTGTATCAAGTGAAACATGTATATGGAGCAAGTACCAAGATCGCTAGATTACAAGATGTAACTGCTAGACTAAGGTTAGGATATAAGTACCTCTGACAGTATGTTCCTCAAGCAGATGTGAACAAGACTAAATGTAAAGTGTGTGGCCAGACATATGGCCACACACTTGAACACTACGTCCTCGACTGTGTGAAGATAGAACCTTTTAGGGACAGGTCCAAGCACACTGCGTGTGAAATGGCACAACACTTCATCTCTAATGGCAAGATAGCCGACATATTAAGATTGTATCCACTTTTTTGCACTTAGTAGCTATATCAGTTCTCATGTATAGAATCAATCACACAATGTGCTTGAATAACAATGTGTGAGGCCAGACACACTGCCTCACACGCCTGTACTCACGAAGTTGGGAATAAGTTACGCTTTATATATATAACTAAACAAGGAATTTAATTAAAATACTGTGTAACATTCAGTGCCATAATATCCTGACCACGGGGATTAATTATTCTGACCCTTTGTAAACCATACTCTATAATCCTTTTGCGCTACCGCTCACAGGTTGAGTATGGGGTGCACAATAAACTAGCCGTTGTAAGCGGCAAAATTCAAATTCATGACCACGAGAGGTCCTTTCATGTCAGCATCTACGGACGAGTTACTGCACCACGTGGCCGACGTGACCTCACACAGTATGGCCAAGAGCAGCCCGGGCCATCAACTGTAAACTATAATTTGTATATTCAATTCATATTCCTTCTCCTTTTAGTCATGAAAGCTACCTACCTAACCCATGTCCTTGTGTGCAATAAGTCACTTCTGTTCAATATATATTTTCAGCCTTTGGGCTGCTGAACTTTTTCAATAAGTCGTTAATTATTATTATTATTATTATTATTATTATTATTATTACAAACACTTCATTAGGCTGCAAAAATAGATCTTTCAATTTATACAACACCATGAAAAAAGAGTCTGAACCTTTGTGTGTGTGTGTGTGTGTGTGTGTGTGTGTGTGTGTGTGTGTGTGTGTGTGTGTGTGCGCGCATGTGTGTGGGATTGGTTGTGTGAGGGGAAGAGGGACGTCTGTGTTTGTGTTTGGTTGTATGTGGCAGGAAGGGAGTTGTGTGAGTTTGTGTTTGGTTGTCGAATGTTTTGGGCTAGGATGTATTTGTTTGATTGTGTGTTTGTTGGGGAGACGTTTGGGAGAGAGTTGATAAATGTTTATTTGGATG